AGGCAGTATGGGTAGGGAATGGAAGGCCATGCACAGAGGCAGTATGGGTAGAGAATGGAAGGCCATGCCCAGAGGCAGTATGGGTAGAGAATGGAAGGCCATGCCCAGAGGCAGTATGGGTAGAGAAATGGAAGGTCATGCACAGGCACAGAGGCAGTATGGGTAGAGAATGGAAGGCCATGCCCAGAGGCAGTATGGGTAGGGTCCAGATGAGAATGTGACACAAGAACACAGCATAGGGTGACTAACAGTTGTACCCACATGCTTGACTTTTATATGAATTCTAGGGATCAGCCAAGCATAGTGGCCTGTGCCCTTTAATCCCAGTACTTGGGAGGCAGAGGCAGGTGAGTCTCTGTGAGTTTGTGTCCGTCATAGTGAGTTCCAGGACAGCCAGGGCTACATAGTGAGACCCTGTCTCAATAATTAATTGCTGGGGCTCTGAACTTGGGGCCTCGTGCCTGGGCGGCGAGCACTTTACCAACTGAGCCATCTATCCTTTGGGCCCTTTTTTGTAACCGGGTCTCACTATATAGTCTAAGCTGGCCTTGAACTCATGGCATGCTCCTGCCTTAGCCTACCAAGTTCTGAGATGACAGGCATGCGCCACCACAACCCGCTTTCCGTTGACTATCATCACGGGAATGCAGCTCAGTGATAGAGCAGTTACATAAAAGGTACAAGGCTCTGGTTTCAGTGCCCATCACTGCAGAAAAAAGTACAAGTTTTGATAAAGCATGTAGTGAATCCTGTGTTTTCATCCAGTCTAACAGTCTCTATATGATACTTTGGTTCTTTATTTATGTGTGTGTGCCTGAGTGTATTTACAAACACCACATGTTTGCAGGAGCCTGCAAAGGCCGGGTGTTGCTGAATCTCCTAGAACTGGAGTTACAGACCACCAATACACCATGTGGATGCTGGGAATCAAACCCAGGTATTCTTCAAGAGCAGCACATTTAATGGCAGAGCCATCTCTCCAGAACTTACATGTTGTTTTTGTTTTGCTTGTTTGATATGATCTACATCACCATATAGGCTGAGCTGGCCTCAAACTTGTGATCCTTCTACCTAAAATATGTTACAGGTATATGGCACCATATTTAGACAGACTCTGGATTTTGTTTTTAAGTGTTATTTGTTTATTTAATGTATATGAGTGCTCTATCTGCACGTACAACTTGATGCCAGTAGAGAGCATTAGATCCTACTACACAGGGTAGTGAGCCACCATGTGGTTGCCGGGAATTGAACTCAGGATCTCTGGAAGAGCAGCCAGTGTTCTTAACTGATCAGACATCTCTCCAGCCCCAGACTCTGGATCATAATAGAAATTAAGCATGAAAGGTACATCTAAAGCTGGGCATGGTGGCACACACCTTTAATCCCAGCACTTGGGAGGCAGAGCCAGGCGGATCTCTGTGAGATCAAGGCCAGCCTGGGCTACAGAGTGAGATCCAGGACACACACCAAAACTGCACGGAGAAACTCTGTCTCGAAAAACTAAAAAAAAGAAAAGAAAAGGTACATCTAAAGCCAGGCATGGTGGCAAATACCTTTAATCCCAGCACTCAGAAGGCAGATCTGTGAGTTCAAGGCCAGCCTGGTCTACAGAGGGTGTTCCAAGACAGCCAGAGCTACACAGAGAAACCCTGCCTTTTTTTTTTTTTTTTTTTTTTGGAGCTGAGGATCAAACCCAGGGCCTTGCGCTTGCTAGGCAAGCGCTCTACCACTGAGCTAAATCCCCAACCCGAAACCCTGTCTTGAAAAAACAAATAAGGTACATCTAGCTGGGTGTGGTGGCATACCCTGTAATCAGCACTCAAGAGGCTGAAACAGGAAGGCTGCCTGAGTTCGAGGCCAGCCTAGGCTCCATCATGAGACTGATTTTATTAAGTTCAGAGCCGGTGAGATGGCTCAGCTAGGAAAGGCACTTAGCCACTCCCCCGACGACCTGAGTTTGAACCTAAGGCCACACATGGTAGGACAGAACTCACTCCCACAAGCTGTCCTCTGATGTCTTTGCCATGGCACATGAGTACGCACATACACACCCAGAAAAATAAATTCATCCTTGCTTATACCTGGTTTGTTTCACTTACCGTACTATATATATATCCTCCAAGTTCAGATACACGATGCGACAAATGGACAATGTACTATATATTTGTAAAATGCTGATTTTAAATGTTTTCATCAAAATGCATAAGGAGGGCCGGGGTGGAGCTCAGTTGATAGAGGGCTCGACCTAGCCTGCTTGATTGAAGCCGTGGCCTGATCTTCAGTGCCATATTGAGCACGGAGCCAGGGAGTGGTGGTGCACGTCTTTAGGCCCAGCACTCAGGAGGCAGAGGTAGATGGCTCTCTGTGAGTTCAAGGCCAGCCTGGTCTACAGAACAAGTTCCAGGACAGCCAGAGCTACACAGAGAGACCCTGTCTTGAAAAACAAAAACAAACAAAAGAGCACGGTACACACCTGTGATACCAACACTTGGGGAAGTGGAAACAGGACGATGGGGGACGAAAGGATAAAAAAAGAAAGGCAAAGTGGGTACCTTTCAGCGGGCTCTGCCACGGTATGCCAGTGAGCAAACACGCCATGTACAAGAGTTAGTGCAACAGGTTCATTGAGGGAGGAGAGGGGGAGTGAAAGAGCAAAAAGCCAAGTCTGGGTGGGGACATGAGAGAGGCAGGCAGACAGACAGAGGGACAGGAAAGGAACAAGAGGAGGAAGAGGGGCAAGAGAGGAATAAAGAGGCCGGAGAGCAAGCTGTGCCCAGCAGGCACTTCCAAGGGGGGCACATGTCGCATGCCGGACAGTGGAAAGGCGCCTGGCGACAGGCGACGACGTAACTCAACTGCTTTGGCAGAGGCAGGCTGCTGCCTCGGTGGAAACTAACAAGGAGTTCAAGGTCATTCTCAACTGTAATAATGTCTTGAGGGGGGAAAAAAAATACATAGGGGCCAACAAGATGTTTCAGGGGATAAAGTGGTTACCACGAAAGCCTAAAGACCCGAGTTCAGTCCGTGAAAGTTGGAAAAGGAGAATGACTCCACAAAGTTGACCTTTGACCTCACACACATTGTAACAGCCCCCCCCCCCCCCCACCTTAGCACAGCTGACTCCATGATGGAAGTGCCATTCAGGCCATAAAACTCAGCACGTAGACGGCACCACCTGCCAAAAATGAAAACAAAGACCCAATCCATCAAAGTCCCTAGTTCTGGGAAAGTCTCTGAATGTGCTCACCTTGCTTTTTGACTTTTGTAGTTCTGTTGTTAACTGAAGTGTGCCAACCCAGAATGGGGTTTTTGTGCTTAAAAGCTCATCCTGATCCAGGCAGTGGTGGCGAATGCCTTTAATCCCAGCAGAGGCAGAGGCAGGTGAATCTTTGGGTTTGAGGGCCAGTGTGGTCTACGGAATGAGTTTTTTTCCAGGACAGCCAAGGCTACACAGAGAAACCCTGTCTTAAAAAAAAAAAAAAAAAAAAAAAAACACAACTCAACCTGAGAAAAGCTCATCGCTTCAGTGGGATCACCAGTCAGCCAAAGACTTTCTATTGGCTTAAACCCGTATGTGAGCCATCTTCTCAGTGAATGCCCCCACCACATTTCTGGAGATCCCACTAAGACCCTAGAGACCAGACCTAAAGACACTGGGGGTCTCAGAGCCCCTTGGAGCTCTGAGAAGAGTGCGGTGGTCAGAGGACTCCTAGGGGAATGCACAGCCTGAGACGTTCCAGGTCCCCAGGTCTCCCTTTGATCAATCACTACCTAATGCTCCAGGGGGATCTGACACCTCCACACTAAAAGGAAACAAGTTAGAGTGTCGCCTGGTCTGTCACCTCAAGAGTTAAGTCTGGTTAAGGAGCCTTCTGTTTGGACACCGGAGAGGGCGGATGCAGCTGCTGATGCAGAGTCCATGTGAGACACCACTGGATCCCTCTGTCTGTTCAGAATGTGTGGTGGCCACCCCTAGTTGTCTTTACTCTGGGTGTGTGTGTGTGTGTGTGTGTGTGTGTGTGTGTGTGTGTGTGTGTGCATGTTTCTATGTGTTTCTGTCAATTTTGTTTTCCTGTACTGACCAGTGGCTTTCTCTGATGTGAGACCCTCCCCCTACCTGGCTTAAGAACTGTCCCCCCTCCTGTTGGGGACTGGAATGGTTCTGCAGCTCACCAGAGAAACCAAAAAAAGAAAAAAAAAAAAAACCTCCTCCTCTCCCACTCCAGGAGCAAGAGTGCAGGCTTGTTTTGTTGTTGGACTCCTGCTCACAGTCGGGGTTGGCCCCTGTGTGGGGGTGGGGAGAGGCCCCGCCTCTCATCCTGGGGCCCCAACCATCGAAGTGGAATGCACACAAGGAAGGGAGAAATAGTTCCCCCAAGTGAGCATTCCTTCTGCTCCCTGCCTGCCCTGAACAGGCCCAGAGAAAAGGGAAAAGAGAAAGTTCCTTTCTCTTTCATGATTTCTATCTCCTTTTTAAACAATGATCCATAAAACCCACCATTCTCTTTTAAAAGTAAGGGAAAAAAACAAAAAAACAGAAACCTGCCCCTGGGCTAGCCAGGGGGATCTCAGACAGACAACACCATCTGCACAGAATGGATTTTCCCTTCTGTCCAACACTGACCAGGGAGAATTTAAAGAACTTTCACTGGGTCCTTCTTAAAGGAGTAAAGACAGCTACTAAAAAGATTCTCTTTGTCACCCAGTTGGCCCCAGATATTAAAAAAGTTAGAAAAGTTTAAAAAAATGTAAAGGTATAAGTAGGTCCCAGTTTCAGGAGGTAACTTGAAGAATGTTTAACAGCAGAGAACTGACTGAAACAAGACTTTTCACATAAACTAAAAGCCTCCGTCACCTTCTCTGATGATGATACAGGCGTACAGATACCCGACAGAATTTCAGTGTCTCACCTTCTGTCAGAAGACTACAACCCCCCAGGACTGGTCCAACACCAAGCTCCAATAATTGTACAATTAACCAGTTCAACCTCCATCCAGATTAAACAACACCCAATGGCCCTGGAAACAAAAGGATGATTGCAGTCCATATTGCCTGGCTTGAAGGGACAGGCATCCTGGTGCCTTGACGGTCACCCTGGAATACACCTCTTCTGCCTATGAAGACACCTGGGACCTCTGATTCTCATGACTCTGAGCCTTCCAGAGAAACAGGTGTGCACTGTCTTAGACCTGAAAGATGTATTCTTCAGCCTCCCGTTGGCAGAGGTGAGTCAACTCATCTTTGCTTTTAAATGGACAGACCCAGTGGGAGGTTATACACCTGGACCAGGTTGCCCCAGGTTTTAGACACTAATTGCAGACTTCTCACCCTTCCGCCAGAGCATTCCTGAGAAAACAGATTATAAAAAGAACCACTGAGGGACTGCTGCAAGAGTTACAGACCTTGACTAAGAAAGCTCAACTTTGTAAAAAGGCTACCTATCTTGGCCACCAGCTGAAGGGAGACAGAAGGGTCCTGTCTCAGAGGAGGACTGCTGCCATCCTTCAGATCCCAACTCCAAAGACTAAGAGACAGGTTCGAGAGTCCCTAGGTGCAGGGGGATATTGCTGCCTCTGGATACCAGGGTTTGTGGAAATAACAAGGCCTCTAAAAACCAGCACAGAGTGAAGAACTAGGCCCCTTATCTGAACTGAGACTCTACCTAGACTGGACATCCTAGTGTGGGATGTCCCAGCTTGATGCCAGGTTTGTGCTCAAGTGAATCCAAAACAGAGAGCCCTTACCCAGGGAGGGCTCCAAAAGAAAGACCAAAACCCTGGTGAACTCAGGGAAAACTGACTTCACCATGATCTGGCTTGCTGGGGGATACATATACTTGCTAGTTTTTATAGATATCTTTTCAGTGTGGGAAAAAGTATTCCCCACCAGGACTGAAACTGTTCAAAGAGTAGCTAAAAAGCTCCTCCAGGAGCTGATCCCTGATTTGGCCTCCACGGAGCAATGGGGTCCAAAAAATGACCAGGCTTTCATAGCCAAAACCTCTCAATTAATAGCTAAAGCTGTAGACATAGATTTGTTTCTAATTTGTGTGTTTGTTTATTAAAGACAGGGTTTCTCTGTGTAGCCCTGGCTATCCTGGAACTCGCTCTGTAGACCAGGTTGGCCTCGAACTCACAGAGATCCGCCTGCCTCTGCCTCCTGAGTGCTGGGATTGAAGGTGTGCGCCATCATTGCCTGGCAACTTTAGACAGAGATTAAAAACTACATTGTGCATATAGATGTCAGAATTCTGGCCAGGTTTTTAAAAAATAAGCAAATAAGACATTAAAAGAAACTCTAACAAAACTCTCACTAGAGTCCAGAAGGAGATGGATGGGTCTCCTTCCTTTGCTTCGGCCTGCTGCACCCCATACAGACAGGGATTTACCCCGTGGGATTATGGTTGGAAGACCTCCCCCACTGCTTCCCAAACTCAGAGATCAGCAGTTGGCATAACTCTCTGACCATTCCTTTCTCAAGTCCCTGCGGACACTCCAGTTCTCCGTGCAGGCTCTTCACTGGACCTGAGAGATCCAGCCTAGTCTTACTGTAACTGTGTTCAGTTGATATCCCTAGGAGGCCTGCTCACTTCTGAAGGGAAATGGAGGAGTGGATGTGGAGGAGAGAGAAGGGGAAACTGTGGTCCAGATGTAATATATGAGAGAATAATTAATACGTTTTTAAAAAAAAAAAACAATAGGGTTGTAAAACTGACACCTGAAAACTTCCTTTAAAAGCTTCTGGCCTGCTGGGCTGTGGTGGTGCACGCCTTTAATCCCAGCACTTGGGAGGTAAAGGCGGACACATTTGTGACTGGTCTACAAAGTGAGTTCCAGGACAGCCAGAGCTGTTACACAGAGAAACCCCTGCCTTGAAAAACAAACAAACAGACAAAAAAAGATTCTGGACTTTGGAAAACAGGAAAAACCTGGAGAATCAATCTCTGTGCCTCAGGAAGGGACCCTGGGTATAGAGTTAATCATTCCCAGCCAAAAATCAGCCAGGATTTCTGGTTATGTTTAAATACCCATTCCCTGTACTACACAGGGATAGGAACCAACCAGACTGTCAGCCCATTGACTAACAAAACTCACTGTGACTGGGGACAGCACAAATGAATGTTAGAGGACATCCAAGGGGCTGAAATTGTCTAATATTCAAAACCTTTACCCCAGGCAATTCCCCTAATTCTGATGCCTACTATTCTGCCTTATGGGTAATTCCTCTAGATAATACCAGTATTACCAAGCCCCTGAGACTACTTGGTGGGCATGTACTAATGGTTTGACTAAATGTGATGCTTTCTGCTATTTTCCAAACTAAGTAGACTGTTTGATTGGGACCTAGAGGTGTTTAAAGTTTCCATTTCTGAATTAAAACAACAGTGAGATTCCCTTGCGGACATGGTCCTGCAAAATGGGAGAGGCTTGGACTTCTCATGAAATAAAAATAAAACCATGTGTGGCTTTGGGAAAAATCTCTTTTTTCCATGCTAAATGATCAAGAGTCATTAGGAAAAAAAAAAAGCTTGCCATGGTTGGGATAATAATTGGTACCAGTCTGTGTTCTCTCGGTTCCCCCTGTCTACTTCTCTGCTATCAGCCCTGACTGGGCCTTTAATTCTCATTCTGATTGGATTAACAGCAGGGGTCCTACCTTTTTGTTTTGTTTTTGGTTTTTTGGAGACAGGGTTTCTCTGTGTAGCCTTGGCTGTCCTGGAACTGACTCTGTAGGCCAGGTTGGCCCCTGCTTCTCTAGAGCTGGGATTAAAGGTGTGTGCTACCACCCACCCAGCCCCAGTTGGGGCCCCACATCTTAAACTAGAACAGAATGAGTTCATGAGTTGACTCATTCACTAAGACCAGTCAGGAATGTAACAGGGCCCCAGACTAGCACAACTATGGGATGGAAGTACCATCCAGGCTGTAAAACAGAGCACATAGACAGTACCACCTGCCAAAAACGAAAACAAGGATCTAATCCTTCAAAGTCCATAGTTCTGGGAAAGTCTCTAAATGTGCTAATCTTGCTTTTGCACTTCTGTAGTTCTGCTTCCAGCTAGCTGTTCTTGTTAACTGCATGAAGTCGGTCAACCCAGTGTAGTTGCCAATAAAGACTTTCTAATGGCTTAAATCCATGCCTGAGCAGTCTTCTCTGGTGAATACCCAACAACATCATAATTTTAAAAAAACTCAAGTTCAAGGCTGATTGGGCCATATAAGACTGACCTCATCCAAACCAAAAGGAAACAGATGAGCTAATCAGCTTGATTTAGCCATTCTACAATATATAAGTAATATGCTGCTCACAAATATATAATTTTTATTGTCTGTTAAATAACTAATTTTTATTGTGGCTCATTGATAGAACACTTGCCTAGCATACATAAAACCATGGATTCATTTCAGTGCAAAGGAAAAAAGTTAAGGAATTTGCTCACAGATAGCAACTTTAAAGTCCCATCTGCAGCCCATAAATATTCAAACTTTTCCTCAACCTGAAGACACCTACAGGACTTGCCTCCGATGCACAAGGCTCTAAGTTCAATGGCCAGTACTGCCTCTCCACTATACATAGACACCCATAGGGTCTTTCTGCAGTTAAGCTAATTCAACACTGGGAGTATGTTCCTCGAGAGTCTGGGAACTTGAGGCTGTTGCTGTTGGCTGTTGGTCATCCTTCTCTTCCAAGCTGTGCCAGATCCCATATCCAAAGTAGATAGCAAATCCTAAAAGGGAACAGAGTCGGTGAGGTGGAAATGGTCACTCCTGTACCAGGATGCCCGTCAGGGATTCTCCATGTGACCCCAGACAGTTTGAAAGAGAGGCAATGAGAAGAATGTTGAACCCAGTTGACCAGGAATCTCTTCCCCAGTAAGCTACTCACTCACCGATCACCATCCAGATTCCAAAGCGAATCCAGGTCCCGACAGTCATTTGCATCATCAGGTAGACATTCACAAAGACACTCAGCACAGGGAGCACGGGCAGTGCTGGAACCTGTGAGCACAGCCTGTGAGCACTTGTGTGCACAGACACCTGCCTGAGCCCTCTCCCCCCAGAGCTGAAGATCCAGCCCCTATCTAGGCTCTGTGGTCAGTGCCTACTCATACCAGAGACCACATGGGATGTACTAGGAGGGACAGGAACTGAGCACAGAAGCACTGGGCTGGGAGTTGTGAGCAAATGGCTTCTTTTCATGTTTAGTTGGTTGGTTTGGTTTGTTTTCTCAAGAGAGGGCTTCTCTGTGTAGCTCTGGCTGTCCTGGAACTTGCTCTGTACACCAGGCTAGCCTCAAATTCGGAGATCTACCTGCCTCTGCCTCCCAAGCACTGGGATTAAAGATATATGCCACCACACCTGAGAGCAGATTTCTTCTTTCATGGACATGGGGTCTCAAATATCACAGGCTGACCTTGACCTGAACTTCTCCCCTGTGCTGGAATTACTGTTATACACCACCTCTCCTGGTTTTTGCTGTGCTGGGATTATGCCCGAGTCTTCAGGCATTCTAAGCTCACCAGCTGACTACATTCTCATAGCCCTTTTTTCCAGTACTGGGGATTATATCCAGATCCTCATGCACATTAAGCAAGTGCTCTGCCACTGAGTTACCTAACTCTCCCAGACTTGGGAGTGAAACGCACTTTGGGTTTTGTTAGATTTTTGGTTTAGTTTGTTTGGGTTGGGGGGGTGGTGGTGATTTTGTTCTTGTTTGGGGGGAGGGGGTTTGAAGGGGACTGTTTTATTTTTGGTTGGTTGGTTGGTTGGCTGATTGTTTGAGACAGGGCCTCATGCAGCTAAGCCTGGTCAATCTCAAACTCATTTGAACACCTGATCTTCCTCCTTCTGCTTCCCTAGGATTGAAAGTATAAACATGTACCAACATATCTGCATTATTTTTATTTTGAGACAGAATTTCACTAAATTGCCTGAGCTGGCCTAGAAGTTGCTGCAGCCTATGCTGGACTTTAAGGTGTGATCCTCCTGCCTCGGCCTCCTGAGTATCTGGGATCATACATCCATGGTGACATCTGGCTCTGTCCATTGGTGTATTGGGAGGGGCTTGTTTATTGGATTGGTTGTTTCTGAGACAGGTTATCACTATGTTGCCCTTGCTGACCTGACCAAGCCGGCCTCAAAATCAGAGATTCCAGCCAGAAAATGGTGGTGTACTCCTTTAACCCCAGCCCTCAGGGAGGCAGAGGTGGTGGATCTCTGTGAGCTAAGACTAGGACTACACAGAGAAACCCTGTCTTGGGGCAGGGATTAAAGACAAGGACCACCATGCCCTGCCTGTCCGTTGGTTTTATCAGTTCCCCACCCCTTCCTTCCCTGGTGATGTAAAACATGCTTAGACCGTAAGTCGGGCGTGACCATCTCTCAGGGTGGCTTCCCTGAGAAAAGTAAGTCACCCACCTTGAAGTGGAGAGGAGTGGTGCTCTGAGGCTGTCTCCAGATGACAAGGACCACTCCGACAATGAGAAGCAACAATGAAACAGCCACAGCTATCAAAACTGGGTCTCCAGAGAAGAGCTGTCCAGGCCACTGGGCCAGGACCAGGCACAGGAACTTCAGAAGAAGGGCTGAAAATCAATTTGGGAGAAGCACATCAGGACCCTGGGCCACATCCCACCAAATCTGTCTGTACTGTGTCTCCCCCTCTGCTAATGAGATCCCCCACATGCTGTCATCTTCCAAATGCCCAAGGGGAAAGTCCTGGCACTCACCAAGCAGGGAGGCACATCTGTAGACAATCTGGCCCGATCTCAGTGTTGGGATGGTGTCCGTGGGGATCCAGAGGCTCCTTGCAATTCCTGGAGTCCTTGCTGCGGAAACAGGCTCCGTGGATGAAGAAAATTTAAGAGCCAGCTCCATCTCAACAGCTCCCCTCTCAGATTTCTCCTTCTTACAAGAGTTTAAGTTCTGGTCTGGCTGGTACCTGAATGAGTGAGATAGTGTGGGAACATGACCAGCTGCCCCCATGCATCCAACAGACAGCCACGAAAAGCATCCGGCCGTCTTCATGGCCCCGTAACCCTCAGCCAAAGTGTGAAGGAGTCTCACCTGAGGACCAGAACAGAGAAGGCCACCAAGGAATAGGAGAGCAGGGTTCCTATGGATGTGAGGTCCACCAGGTCGCTGAGCTCAACAAGGAAAGCCATAAGCGCTAAAGTGATAAGAAGGAAAAATTGGTGTAGAAACTATGAGGAGTGTTACCTCGTAGACACAGCCAAGCTGATGAAATTGATAAAGCTGGTTGTCTACCTGCGATAATTCCACAAAGGACAGTGGCTAGGACAGGGGTGTGTGTTCGAGGATGAACACGGGCGAGTCTCCGGAACAGGAGCCCATCTTCTGCCATGGAATAGACCACCCGAGGCACGGGGAAAATGGCACCTATGAGGCTATAAGGGAAAAGGAGACTCTTGATAGTGACAATAGGCAGGCCCTGCTCCTTTAGACATTTCCCCTCCCTCTTTTCTCTCCTTTTCAGGGGCAGGGACAGATGAGACTCCAGAGAGAAACCTTTGCTACCAACCTGGATGAAAGAGCACATAATGTTCCCACAGCCACTGCATACTGAGCAGGACCCCATCCAACGTGGATAAATGCCTGGGGCAAGGGACTGTCGGTGTGAATTTGATAGTAGGGCATCATGAGGGTGAGTGCCGCGGAAACACCAAAGTACATCAGAAAGCAAACAAAGAGTGAGGTCACGATGCCCAGTGGGATGGCGCGCTGGGGGCAGCGGACCTCTTCCCCTGCAGGGACGAAACAGACCTTGAGTCAGAAACATTCGCAGGCCACCACACAAACCCTCTCCCCCTCCCATGCTCCCAAAAGCAGGCTGAACCTCCACCAGCCCTGTGTCCAAGGGTAGTCCAAACCATGACCATGCTTTTGATAGGACAGAGGGGCTACCACACCTGTGGTCGCAATACAGTCGAAACCAATGAAGGCGAAGAAGCATGTTGCTGCACCACGGAGAATCCCGTTCAAACCAAAAGGCACGAACCCTCCAGAGCCCAGAGGACCCAAGCTGTAGCAAGAGAAGAAAGGAGGAAAACACTGCAGGGAAACGGCGTGGTGGCGCATGCCTAAAATCCCAGAACTCAGGAACTGGGCGCTGAAGGATCATGGGTTCACAGCCAACTCTGACCACATACCTCAGAGCCAGCCTGGGCTACATAGCAAGACTTTGTCTAAAAAAAACAAAAGCAGCGAGGACCTGGACAAGGGATGCCAAGGTGTAACCGAGTTGGTAGAGTGCGTGCTTAGCATACATGAGGCTCTGCTTTGGTCCCAACACTGCATAGTGCGTGTGTAATCCTGGCACTTGGCAAGTGGAAGCAATTACATAGTGAGTTGGATGCCAGGCTGGAGTCCATGATACCTGACTTGAAAAACACTGTAAAGGGGACGACTAGAGGGATGACTCAGCAGCTTAGAGCACTGGCTGCTCTTCCAGAGGACCTGGGTTCAATTCCTAGCACCCATACGGTAGTTCACCTCCATGTTTGACTCCAGTTATAAGGGATCCAAGGCCCTCTTCTGGCCTCCATGGGCACCAGGCATGCACACGGTGCATGTACATAGATATTCAGCCATCACTCATACACAAATACGAAACATTGCCAGGCATAGTGGCACACGCCTTTAACCCCAGCACTTGGGAGGCAGAGGCCAGTGAATCTCCGTGAGTTCAAGGCCAGCCTGATCTACATAGGGAGATCCACAATGGCTAGAGCTACATAGTGAGACTCTGTCTTGAAAAAAACAAAATGTAAAATAAACAAGTCTTTAAAAACAATAATACACAGAGAAACCCTGTCTCGAAAAACAAATAACAAAAAATAATAATAATAATAATTCAAAAGTCCAGGGTTATTTGAAACTGGAAAATATTTTCTCTGTAGAAAATAGTAAAAATGATAACATTTCCCAATAAGCCCTTTAAAGCCAAATAGTAGCTGAATTATACATATAAATATTGATTAGATTCTGGGATACAGAAGAATAGGAACCTGTTTTTATGTTCAAGCTATCTGTGTATTATTTCTCCTGCATCTGTATATAAAATGTTTTTACATTCAAAAAAAAGGACAAATACTATAGAATTGTATTACATGAAATATATAGAATATACAAATTCATAGAGACAGAGAGATTAGACGTTATCCCAAGGTAAAGAAGAAAGTAATATAGAGCAATGATTTCCTAAGTACAGAATTTCTGTTTTGGTTTTTTTGTTGTTGTTGTGTTTTTGGTTTTTGGTTTTTGGAGACAGGGTTTCTCTGTGTGGCTTTGTGCCTTTCCTGGAACTCCCTCTGTAGACGAGGCTGGCCTTGAACTCACAGAGATCCACCTGGCTCTGCCTCCCGAGTGCTGGGATTAAAGGCGTGCGCCACCACCGCCCGGCCAGAATTTCTGTTTTATGTGATGGAAAAGCCCCACAAACAGACAGTAATATCAGGACATAATATCATGAATGTAATAATCAATACAATTAATGTAATTAATGAATATCATAAATATAATTATTGAATAAATACTACAAATGTAATCAATGAATACCACGAATGTAATTAATATCATGCGTGTAATTAATGAATATGAGTGTAATTAAATAAATAAGTAAGTAAAATGAGTTATAGGCAATTCACTGTACCCCTTTGTTGGCCCACAGTTCTGGGCTGCTATGTGCCTCATTCGGACCCACTAGCCAGACCCCATACTCCCCACACGGTCCTGGCTTGAGCTAGCTGTGTCCTGGGGGGCGCTGACCTGTCAGTGCCGTTGGGCCCCAGCGCCGCCAGCTTGTAGTCCTCCTCCGTGAGCTGCCAGTTGTGTAGACTGCCCTTCACGAAGCCGGAGAGGGAGACAAAGCACAGCACCAGGAGATTCACTCCTGTGAACACTCTGGTGACCAGGGCTGACTCCCGCGCTCCCAGGGCCAGGATTCCTGCAGGAACGCGGAGGAGGCGGTGAAAAGAAATCCTAAGGCGGCTGCCGTGGCACACACCTGGACTACCAGCACACAAGTGGTGGAGTTAAGAGTTTCACCAACCCGGCTACCCAGGAAGAAAGAGCGTGGGTCAAAATCAAAATCTCAGGCCGGAGAGATGGTTCATGGCTTAAGAGTAACAGCTGCTCTTGCAGAGGTACTCATATGGTGACTGACCACTATCCATAACGCCTGTGTCGGGGAGTGCGATGCCTCCATCACCAGCACCATGCCACCAGGCAGATACTTGGCAGATATTACATGCAGGCAAAACGCAGACACATGAAATAAGTAAATCCTTTTTTTTTTTTTTTTTTTTTTTAATTTGGTCTTCATACAGCAGAAAGGCTTGCGAGATGGCTTATCGGGTAAAAAGCCTTGCCACCGGGCGGTGGTGGCACAAGCCTTTCATCCCGGCACTCGGGAGACAGAGGCAGGCGGATCTCTGTGAGTTCGAGGCCAGCCTGGACTACCAAGTGAGTTCCAGGAAAGGCGCAAAGCTACACAGAGAAACCCTGTCTACACAGAGAAACCCTGTCTCAAAAACCCAAAAAATAAAAAATAAATAAAATAAAATAAATAAAAAATAAAAAGTCTTGCCAAGATGACTGGCAACCTGAGTTCTGTCTCCAGGCCTTTAAATGGTGGAGAGAGCCATCTCATCCACAGTTTGACCCGTGACCTCCATATGCATGCACCCACATGCATACACATAAATAAATGTAATTACAGAAGTGAAGCTAATTCTATGTTGGTGGGTCTCAGCAGAAGATTGAGGCGGAGGAAGGGTATACCTCATACATCCAGTGGTTGAAAGCTAGGCATGCTGTTACCCAGCCTCCTACTACCCACAGCTCCCAGTACAGGGGAAGCCCTTGCCTCACTGCCCTCCTGTGCCTTGCATCTCACAACTTCCGCCAGCCACCATCCTCCCACAGACGCTCACAGCCCCTCTCCAGCCTGTCTCACCAGTGAGGAGCAAAACCAGACCAAGTGCAAAAAAGTCTGGATACTCGGCCAAGAAGCTGGGCACTTGCATGGGGATGGCATGCTGCAAGGCTTGGGAGATGCGGTTCCCTACAAGACTGTCAAAAGCTGCGCTCCAGGCCCGGGCCACACTGGCTGCACCTGCAGGAAGAAGAGGAGCCTTCATTTACAAGCAGAAAGTGAACCCTTAGCATACAGAAAGAGAGAGAGAAATACCTAATCTCAATCACTGTTGGGGGGGGGGGGGTGAAAAACAGGAAAGATACATAACCTCAAAAGAGTTTCTTGGGTGAGGCATTTAGCTAGGTGGCAGAGTACTTGCCTAGCACACACAAGGCCCTGGGTTTGAGCCCCAGCACTGCAAAATGGTGGTCTAGGAAATTTTCAACAACGTAACAGATAAACACTCCAAAATGATGAAGAGCAGGTAAAATTTTATCCGCCTGGCATATACAAAGAATTCCTAGCCCAGCCTGCAGGCCATTAATCCCAGTACTCAGGAACAAGAAAGGCTAGTGTGTAGAGAGAGTTCCCTGACAGCCAGGGCCACACAGAGAAACCCTGTCACCAACACACACACACACACACACACACACACACACACACACACCACAAAGAATTCCTGGCAGGCTGAGTGTAGTGACTATGCCTGTGATTCCCAACTTTTTGTTTGTTTGTTTGGTTTTTGTTTTGTTTTGTGACAGGATTTCTCTGTGTAGTTTTGGTGCCTGTCCCGGATCTTGCTCTGTAGAACAGGCTGGCCTTGAACTCGCAGAGATCTGCCTGGCTCTGCCTCCCAAGTGCTGGGATTAAAGGCCTGCACCATCACTGCCCGTAATCCCAACTTTTAGGAGGTAGATGCTGGAGGATCAGGAGTTCAAGGTCATCCTCAGTTACTACACAGGAAGTTCAAGGCCAACCTACATGAAACCTTGACAAAAAGAAAAAGCCAGGCATGGAGGTGCACCCTTTTAGTCCTAGCATTCAGAAGGCAGAGACAGGGAAACTCTGAGTTCAAGGTCATCTTAATCTACTTAGTGAGTTCCAGGTCAGCCAGGGCGAGAGATATATATAATGAAACCCTATCTCAAAGCAGATGTGGTTGGAGAGGTTGCTGAGGGATTGATTAAGAGTGCATCGCTCTTCCATAAGACCTGAGATCGGTTTCCAGTATCCATATCAAGTGACCTGTAACTCCTGCTCCAGAGGACCAATGCCTCCGGCCTTTGCAAACATCTGCACTCCCATGTACACACATATACATAATTAAAAATAAAATAAACCTTAAAAACAGAAAAGGAAAGAAGTGATGGGGGACCAGGCTAGGCCAAGTGGCACATGCCTATAATCCCAGCACTTGGTATGTAGAAGCAGGTATATCTGGGATTCAAAGCTGTCTTATGCTATATGGCAAAGTGAGTCTGGGCTACATGAGACCCTGCATCCATAAAAATAAAACCAGAACTCCTGTAAGGCATGGTGGGTCTCACACCTATATGCCTAGTGCTGGGGAGGCAAGGCTAGGAGTATCTCCACAAGTTTGAGGACATCCTGATCTCCATAGTGAGACTGTCTCAAACAAAAGGAAATCTGGCCATTCACTCTACAGATCATTTCTTTCAGATTAATCCTTAAGGAAGCAGCAAAAAAGAGAGAATGGCATCTGGGGTCCTACACTACCCAAGTCCCACCACCCAAGTGACAATGCTTGTGAATAAGGGTAAAAACCCACTTTGCCCACCCCTCTCCGCCTCATCCCCACACCCACTGGAAGACCCTACACCTACTCACCAATGATGTAGGAGAGAATGAGGTTCCAGCCAGTGATGAAAGCCAACAGCTGGCCCACTGTGACATAGCTGTAGAGGTATGCCGAACCCGAACACGGCACCCTGGCCCCAAACTCTGCATAACAGAGTCCAGACAGCACAGAAGACAGGGCAGCCACTAAGAAGCAGATAATGATAGATGGTCCAGCTTTCTCTCTGGCTACCTCCCCAGCCAGGACGTACACGCCTGCTCCCAAGGTGCTGCCCACACCCAAGAACACCAGGTCCAAAGTGGACAGGCATCTGGACAAGGGCGACTCAGACTGTTCATTTGCTGTCAGGGGCCGCCGGCGTACCAACTTCTGGCCAAAGTGATGGACATTCTGCCACACCATCCTAGGTGCCTGGTGGAGGGATCCAAACTCTGCTGGAAAAACGAGATGAAATATCAAGAATGATCACCTGACAGGGTGTGGTAGCCCACTCCTTTAATCCTAGCATTTAGGATGCAGAGGCGGGCAGATCTCTGAGAGTTCAAGACCACTATGGTCTACATAGTGAGTCCCAGAACAGCCAGAGCTACCTAGTGAAACCCTGCCTCAGGAAAAACAAAACTGGCCTGACGGTGGTGGCGCACACCTTCAATCCCAGCACTCGGGAGGCAGGTGGATCTTGGTGAGTTCGAGGCCAGCCCGGTCTACAGAGTGAGTTCCAGGAAAGGTGCAAAGCTACACAGAGAAACCCCATCTCGAAAAACCAAAAAAAAAAAAAAAAAAAGAAAAAGAAAAACAAAACTAAACAGAACAAAATAATAACAGTAATAATAATAATAAAGCCATGTGTCTTCAAACATAAATTAAAATTCCACCAATGCTCTTCAAAAACAACCCACTCTGCTTCCAAGTCAAACCACAAAAAAAAAGCTATAACTTAGCTAGGCAAGGTGGTGCTACCTTTAATCCCAGCACTCTAAGAGGCAGAGGCAGGCAGATCTCTGTGAGTTTGAGGCCAGCCTGGTCTACAAAGTGAGTTCCTGAACAGCCAGAGCTGTTACACAGAGAAGCCCTGTCTCAAAAAAAAACTAAATAAAAATAAATGAATGAATAAATAAATAAATTAGCTGTAACTTCCTGGTAGCTGTGTATCTGTCACCCAACCCCTGTAAGTGCACTCGATCTTCATCCTGCAGTAAGGTTGAAAGGTTGAGACCCCTCACTGTTCCAATAAAGCAGTCTCAGCCTGTTGAGATCAAATCTGTCTGCCTCTGGGTGTCCTGGAACTCGCTCTGTAGACCAGGCTGGCCTCAGACTCAGAGTTCCACCTGCCTCTGCCCAACCTAAAAATGAGATCTTTAAAAAGGAATGATTTTGATTGCACCTGGGCTTACAGGTGAACCTTGAAGTTTAGATAAACTGTTCACAAGACAGTTTCAGGCAGTGAGGTAGCAAGAGGGTTGAATTCCAGAATGATGACTCATACCACTAATCCCATCATTCTGGATGGTGGGTCAGGAGTTTTCCTGTTGTTCTTTTTGTTGTTGTTTTGTGGGTTTGGTTTTTTGGGGGTTTGGGGAGGGGAATTCTTTTTTTTTTTTTTTTCCAAGACAGGGTTTTTCTGTGTAGTCCTGGATGTCCTGGAACTCACTCTGTAGACCAGGCTGGCCTCAAACTCAGAGATCCACCTGTCTCTGCCTCCCAAGTGCTGGGATTAAAGGTGTGTGCCACCACTGCCCAGCATGTGGCCAGTTTTAACGGCACAGAGTTGTGGTCAACTCAGTCCACTTCTACCAGTGGCACCAAAGCCAGCCACACAACATCACTGGCTATGATAAACTACTCACCATACCTAGTCGTACCTCAGTGTCCCAAGGAATCGTTTCCAGGACCCTCTGCAGATACCAAAATCCATAAATGCTAGTCTCTCACAGAAAACGGCTGTTTGCAGAGCCTACCCACTTAGATACTTTCATTACAACTGTTGTTTTTTACAATCCTGGGGAACCAGCTCTGAGTCTCACAAACGCAAAGTACGTGCTCTACTGCAGAGTATCATGCCCAGCCTAATTTTTTTCAACTCTCACAGATTGATACCTTGGAAAGATCTCTAGGGGCTGGAGAGATGGCTCAGTGGTTAAGAGCACTTTCTACTCTTCCAGAGGACCCAGGTTCAATTCCCAGCACACACATGGCAGCTCATACCTGTCTGTAACTCCAATTCCAAGGGATCTGACACCGTCACACAGACATACATGCAGGTAAAACATCAATGCCCATAAAATTAATTTAAAAAAAATCTCTATATAGACCTAAGCTCAATGGACTGGAATTCAAACCCCCAAATCTTGTGTAAATGCCAGATGAATGCAGCAGCCCACCTTTAATTCTAGCCTCCAAAGGAAACAGAGGATCCCCAAAGTACGTTGCCTAGGAAGACTAGCCACATCAGTCAGTTCTGGGTTTGATTAAGAGACCCTGTCTCAGCTGGGTGGTGGTGGCGGCGGCGCATGCCTTTAATCCCAGCACTCGGGAGGCAGAGGCAGGCGGATCTCTGTGAGTTCGAGGCTAGCCTGGTCTACAGAGTAAGATCCAGGACAGCCCAGGACTGTTTCACAGAGAAACCCTGTCTCGAAAAATTAAAAAAAAAAAAAAAAAAAAAAAGAGAGAGACCCTGTCTCAGTGAGTAAGATAGAAGAGTGATAGAAGATGATTCTGGACCTCAACCTCCACATGCACACAGCCCATCCATGTTCACACACACACACACACACACACACACACACACACACACACACACACACACCTCACACACACAAATGGAAAAAGAAAATAACATTCTTTTAGAATGAACCATGTAAAAACACAGCTCTCACCTCAAACAGGGTAAAAGAGTTTATTCTGTAGCCAAATGTGAGCAACTATGAACATAGATTTAGGTTACCCCTAGTCCCATGTTCCAATGTAGAAAACAGTTTCATTCAGTTTTTATACTAAGGAGTTTGAAGTCAAGGTGCTTTTCAAATCCATTGGTGGAAATATTTAAGTGGGTAGTTTCAGCAAAGAGAAATCTCAGCCATGGCCTCAGATGTCCTCTGGTGGTTCAGACCTCTGGTTGTTGGAGAATAGGGTTTTGCTAAATTAATGCATTCCAAACGGTTTTTATCTGCTAAATCATGGAATGTCAGGTCCAACAGAGAGCTATTTAGGAAATGACCACTTAGGGCACTCAAGATAAATAACAGCCCAAGATAAACTCTAAATTAGACTCTGGACCTGCAACATGCCAACCCCTTCACAATCATTAAGGTTCTAATCAATCATCAGTGTAGAATGTTCAGTTTGAAGACGTAGTTTCTTTCCCGAAACTTCTGTTCAGAGAATGAAAGCCAAGAAAGGAACCTCATAGCATCTAAACATATCCAGTCCCAACCTCTGATGACACAAAGTGGACACTCATATGTTTTTTCCCTACTGTACTCACAGCAAAAATCACTTCTCTGACCCCCAAAATGTGCTAAGTAACCAGAATTACTATTGCTGTGATGAAACACCATGACCAAAAAGCCAGTTGGGGAAGAAACGGCTTATTTGGTTTACACACAGCACTGTTCATCATTGAAGAAAGGACAGGAACTCAAGCAGGGCAGGAACCTGGAGGCAGAAGCTGATGCAGACACCATGGAAGGATGCTGTTTACTGGCTTAATTCCCCATGGCTTACTTAGCCTATTTTCTTATAGAACCCGGGATTACCAGCTCAAGATTGGTACCACCCACAATGGGCTGGGTCCTCCCCCATCAATCCTAATGAAGAAAATGCTCTACAGGCTTGCATACAGCCTGATATCATGGAGGCATTTCCTTGAGGCTCCCTTCTCTCAGACGACTTTAGCTTGTGTCAAGTTGATGTAAAATTGTCCATCACGCCCTGTCACCCCCAAAATGGCAGATACCAACTAAATATCCATGCATCAAATCCAGTTCTGACACTATCTAGAGTTAACAGTGAATCCATAAATTCAAGGCTCCAACCCCCAAAACTGGCCCACTTTAGACCTACCTGCAACCCCAAGCCTCAGGAACTTCGGACCTATCAGTCACAAATTGGCCTCCCAAGACTCCCCACTTCCCAAATTTTATTAAAGAGCTAAATTGCCTCACAGAAATCAAGGAAACACTATTCTTACATCAATTATTTCTGGGGTTGCTTTAATTTTTGTTTTGATTTTTTTTTTTTTTTTTTTTTTTTGAGACAGGGTCTCACTGTGTAGCCCTGGCTGTCCTGAAACACACTATGAGGACCAGGCTGGCCTCAAACTCAGAGGTCCTCCTGCCTCTGCCTCCTAAGTGCTGGGATGATAGGTGTGTACCTCTATGCCTAGTTTGCTTATTTCATTTATTTGATTTGAAAATTAAACAGAATCTGGTGTCTCTCAGATCAGGTTCAAACTCATTAGGTAAAGATGGCTTGCAGGTGCGATCCTCCTGCCTCCCCTTCCCCATTGTTGGTAATATGTATAGGTTTAAGATACCTCAGCAGGTTTAAGTAGTGCTAGAGATGAAACCCAGGGTTTCCATAGTAACCAAGCGCTCTATCAACTGAGCTAAATCCCTACAACTTGAACATTTTAAGCCTGGCATAGTGGCTCAGAGCTAAAATCAGAGCTCAGGAGACTGACATGAAGGTTTGCCAGGAATCTGAGGCTAGCCTGGGCTACAGACTGAAACCCTGTCCTGAGAAAACTGAGCAAGTTAAAACAAATAAAAGACATTTAAACCGGGCGGTGGTGGTGGTGCACACCTTTGTTCCCAGCACTCCGGAGGCAGAAGTGGGAAGATCTCTGTGAGTTCCAGGCAGCCTGCCTGGTCTACGGAGTGAGTTCCAGGACTGCTAGGGCTGTTACACAGAGAAACCTTGTCTTGAAAAAAAAAAAAAAAGAGAGAGATTAAGTCAGGTATAGTACTTCAAGCCTGTAATACTACCACTCAAGAGGCTGAGGTTAAAAAAAAGAAGAAGAAAAAAGAAAACCTGGGCTACAAAATGAGTTTCCCACCCTCCTGGTGTATAGACTTGAGACCCTGTCTTAATAAAACCAAAAGAAATACAAATAAGTAAGCAAATGGATTCATTTTGCTTGTCTGTTTTCTGTTTTGTTTTGTTTTTCAAGACAGGATTTCGGTGTAACAGTGCTGGCTGTCCTGCAATTTGCTTTATAGACCACGCTGGCCTTGAACTTACAGTAATCCTCCTGCCTGTGCCTCCCGAGTGCTGGGATTAAAGGCGTAGGGCACCACCACCCTGCTGGATTCAAATTTTTCTTAAGGATACAAAGACAGCAAAGGAAGAGTAGGATGCCGCCTGGGAGGGTCCCCAGGGGGTGGGGAGGCTGGAGGGAGAGG